TTTGTTAACCTGATTAAGTCAGCCTGTGTAAAACAAATCAGCGCTAGCATAACTTGGAATTACGATCAAAGAAAAGGGGTATGATACGGGGGATGAAAGTCAAACTGTAATTCATAAGGAAATAAAGCCCCCTAGTTAACCTACCGGCAGTCAACTCTGAATTGGCTTATCGCCAAATATACGACCCAGCGCACGATGATCTGTCCACCAAGTAAACAGCGTCTCATATACAAGTAAATATGTAGCGCTTTAGTGGCCCACACTATGGCCATTGCCTCTTTGTCACTTGAGCGTAATTCCTCACGGCCGGTGACAGGTCCGGAGATGAACTCAATGGGGCGCTCATCCCCCATTCAGCATAATTTGAAGACAACACAGCGCCAATGCCACCGATTGAAGCAGTCAGTGTCCATGTTAAAGATAAGCTTGGTATTTAAAAGGTCAATACACGTTAGAATCCAGCAGAATTATACAATATTTTAAAGCTTTCTTTCGGTATTTTGTCCACACCCACTTTACTACTTGAGCTTCACAGACCTTTCAATTGGAGCAATACAGACGACAAGTTGGGCAAATATCGCATGTAATAATTCACAGCCCCCAAAAAAACTAATCATTTTCGTCCACAATCCTAGTTCGGAGCCATCAGCAATACTCACGACCCTTGCTTTTTTCACTGGTTTGATCCCTTCAGCAACACCACAAGAACCCCAGAAAGACAACTTCTTTTTAGCATGAAAGAAAGTTTATTTTTTTTCCGGATTTTTATTACATTTTAAAACCTCGCTGCTCCAACCTACATCTGACATTATTGAGCGTTTGATCATATGGTCACACTCATTTCGTCGACCAGAAACAAATATATCGTCATTCTGCAGCAACGTCATAGGCACACCCCACAGAGTGTCCATCCAAATACATGACTTGGAATATAGCCGATGCACTGTTGATGCCATCCGGCAAGCGATTCCATTAGATAACAACCCTTTGTGGCGTATCATGTGGTCAAGACACGTCCTCATATCGAAATCAACCGGTTATTATTAAATAAGCCATTTTTGAAGTCCAATCTTAGAGAACGTATGTCCCCTGCACAGCATTCAGACATACCTCGCACGGTAGTGTAGAGGTATTGTCCGTTTTGCTGATACATTAGTACAGGTCGCTTTATAATCCCCACATATGCCACTGACTGCCCTCCAACCTTCTCACATGAGCAACTATGCGGTGTCCCCCATGGACGTTTCGACTTGTTAGAATCTTCCGCTTCACCATGATCATTTAACTCACAAATCACCTTGTTTTCTCAAGGCAATAGGGTAGACTAAAAGGCTTTCATTCATCATACTAGTGTTTGGAGTTGATTTTTTTCCTTCATGGTCCAAACTTGCCTGTTACACCCTTAACAAGTCCTAAAACCCGTTAAAAACACCTCGCTCTGTTTTAAACTGAGTGCGATACTACGACATTGATCACCCGAGTACAGTGTTTATCACATTTCCACCTGTAGTTCAACGGTCGCACCATCGTATAGCAAGTCACCCGTTATCGACACCACTCCAGAGCAGCTTTCACAGCACACTGACACCCAGCTTTGATATGTCTTCAACTTGTTCAACTAGTTAGATCTAAAAAATCAAATGACAAAATAAAGAGGCAGTACACAGTAGAGTGCTGAAGCGATCAAATCATGCATCTGTAACCACAATACTATTTTCTTTCAATTCAAACTCAGCCTGATTTTGTAGTTAATGTTTCTGATAGGAGTCTATGCCTTGTTTTATTGACACTTTCAAAATACAGTTTTTAGAGCAACGATGCTCCCAAAAAACTCAAGAACATGGAGTTCCAGTTGTGTTTTGTTTAATTAATGTTCATGGTTAAGCTTGAGTGGCCTCCTGTAGTTTTGGGTCTATCCCACTATGCTGTAACAGGAAAAAATGGTAATAGAGACTGTTTCCTTAACTGATCAACATCTATAAGAGAGGGTTACTCAGTTACTTTGAACCCCTTTTGATTCTAGCCAAAATGCCAGGCATATTACATCTCTCAGTCGACCCTTGGCGTGATGTCAAACACCACTGTTAGTGGTGTAATAAAGGGCCCCGCTAACCACACCATGCAGGGGTGGGGTGGAGGCAGGGGGTGCCATCAGAGCTGAGGGGGTGCTTTATTTGAATTTATTTATGAATATAACATAATATGTATTGAATGTTTTGTGGTAAATAAACATTTTGTTTTTCTTATTCCAAAAAAATATTTGAGGGTGCAGCAAAGAGCTGTAGTATATAAATAATCAATATGTAGCTGTGATGAACTAAATAATAGACAAACATGGATGTAGCAGCTCAGCTTTTCAGCGTGCTCCCATTGGAGCTCCGAGGTATCACAATGCTATACGGTTTCAAAGTTGGTCTAGGCAGATTTATAGAACAGTACCCCGACACACCACCTGCTCCAGGCTACATTTCGACAAACGATAACTCAATGCTGAGCTGTGAGCTGCAGGAGAACGCACTTGATGCAGTTGTCCTGAGCACACCTGCTCTCCAAAACGTACGTACATATAACATAATTTTGCATTAAATAATAAAACTATTCAACTGCATTATAGACCGCATCATCATTCGCCATCAACTATTTGTATGTGAAACATTTTACTGACAAATTAATAGTCTGAAATGTCTATCACTTCTCTCTATATGAGCACACATTATATTTTGTTAAAACTTTTTAAAACAAGAAGCAATCCAGCTTGACCATGGCCAACCTGCTTTCCGGGAAAGATTCAAAGCTTAAAAGAATTAGCACATAGTGCGATGATATTTTGTAGACATGTGTGATGATGTGATGTCATAAATTTTATCTTACTTGACTTTATCCTCCAAAAAAATGGCAAAAACCGACCTTAAGAGCTAAATTTTGAATAATATAATAGCCTAGCAGTTAGAAAATATTTCATTAACTTTAAAAATTATTGTTCCAACAAAAAAGCTTGGTTAGGTCCCTTGGTATATAAGTAACGTGTATTAAATAAAATAATGGATTTGCAAAAAAGTTTTAAACTGCTATTTTATTTATTTTATATAAAAGCTTAATCCTTGAATTGTAATAACCTTCTTGATCACATGCCGAAGTTTAGTTATCTAGCTGGAGACTTTAATATCGATCTTCATGATAAAGATAACAAAAATGTACAAAAATATGAAGAAATATTGTTCAGTAAAGGATTTTGTCCGTTAATATCTATTGCTACTCACGAAAAACCAGGCTGTAAAGCATCTTGCATAGACAACATAATTACCAACGATATTGAGAATGTTATTACTTCAGGCACCCTAAAAGAACGAATAACTCACCACTCGCCTATTTTTAACATATTTAACTGGAATGTTGAAGTCAACTCTGGAAAAACTTCTATTAAACAGTACTACGATTTCTGTCAATCAAATGTTAACGGCTTCCTAGTGGATCTTGAAGATGAGCTTAAAACTAAAATAATCGATAACTTTACTGAATTCCATGACACTTACAAAAACTGCATCGAAAAATCGTTTAAACTAGAAACCCCGAAAACCTCTAAGAGAACTGTTAAGGTTAACCCTTGGATAACTCCCGGTCTCATTTGCTCAATTAATAATCAGCATAAACTTTACGAAAATTGGGTTGAGATAAGAAATAGAAAATGTAAACTCGGGGAAACTGATAACAAGGGCGGGATTTGCCAGTGCCCTGAATGCTCACTATACTAAAACGACTACTACTAAAACGTAGTCGCTACCTTATCTACAAAGAATACAGAAAAGTCCTAAAGAAATGTCATGTACATGCTACATTTATCAATGCTGATTTTTATTTTAATGGTAAATATAATTACAAAATTAACAGTTAAGGTGCACTTGTAGCACAATGCGTTACTGTGCCGCGCCGAGCTGAGATGAATTGACATCGTCAATTAAAGGTGCACAAATTTGTACTTCAAATCTTTATATTATTTTCACAATTACTTATTAAAACCAAACTAACTTGAATCCTTGATTCACGATGTCAATCCTTTGCAGCTCGGTGAGGCACAGTGGTGCATTTCGCTGATCTACCGAAGTGGTTGCGAGAAGAATTATTTGATGCGCGGCGCGACCCAGTAGTGCATCACGCTACAACTTGAATCCTAAAACATAAACAGTGCAGCTCAACTGTTGTTTTACAAGCCTCATGTCACGGTACGTGTGCGCGTTTGACAAAAATGGTTATTTGCTCATAATATAACTCGTTAAGAAATACTTTTCATGCTTATACTATTATGTAATTATAGCTATAGGTCTTTTTAGATATTAGCAAAAAAACATTGGTCATGGTACAGCCAGTTTATTTTTACAATCCCAAAGGCCAAGGTTACTCAATTACTCAAAATTACCTGCGCTTTTGTCCTCATAATCATATGCGACGTGTGTAGCCTTTTAGACATTTATTGCGTAAACGAGGTGTCGTACGTCACCTCAAGATCGGGTGACAGGGGGCTGACCATGCCCGAACCTAATTGATCATTGATTGGGTCTGAGGTCACGTGATTATGAGCCATGGGGTCACGTGACTATTACGTCACAAGACCTTGTCCTATGTTTCCCGCTCATTGGACCAGGTGAGCTTGCATGCTTGTGAATGAAGGTGTAAGTACAGCTGTACTGTAGTTTATACCTAATTAACCCCTATACACTGTCACTATGCACTATAGAAACCTGAAAAGTGGTTACTGCATACTGAAGGGAGAAGTGCCAAGACTACCTCACTCCTGCGCGCAGTGTTGTGACCTCCCTTCGTCGTAATTAGCTCATATTCAGATTGAACAATTTTGAAGTCAAATAAATGTTGTTTCTTTTAGATTTGAATAAACAATAAGGATTTAGTCCGAAAGTAATTTGTCTACTAAATAACATTTTGAAATTATGAACAAAATTGGTAAAAATTTGCCATAGTTGTGACCAAAAAAACTACGCGCAGAATTAAATATTTCTTCATAAACGCGTGAACATTTTTGAGTTTAACATTGAATATCTTAGCTCGGTTATTTTAATACTTAATTTTAAAGTATCTATCCGATAACTAAACATTTTATCTTTACGACAGTATAATTTTTTTTTGTATATTTGCTAAATTAAAAAAACAGTAGGAATAGAAACGTCGAAGGTCTTGCGCTTATTTCAGTCCCAAAATATACCCTAATCATAAACTTCATAAAACCCACTGAAAATGATGTCTACAGGCATATTTAGCCCTTACACCTTCCCAAATCATTTAGCAAGGATTCAGAGCCAGCTTTTAAAATTAGCTTTCGAATAACATTGTTAAGACATAAAACTATAAATAAATGAGTGCGTTTTTCTCTTTCGTCTCAACAGTTTCTCTTTCATTTTAACACTATATATCAGTAAAAGCAATCAGCGATCTTTATTCATCATTAAAGGAGTAAAATAATTGGTCCTCGTTAATGTTTAGTGTCTGATTACAGTTTCGGTCCGACCTCCACACCTGAAAAGATATTGGGGGTATTATCAGTTAAGTAAATGGAAAAATCATATTTGCATCATAAAACTATGAAAACATTGAAACTAATATTTTTGAAGGCTCGCCTATTCGTTTAAGCAATCAAATAGTCAGTGCAAAGAACAGTTGAAGGCACCGGGAATGTTTCAAATAAATCCTCTGTCTACTATCAGACCACACACTCCACTATGCACTTCAATGTATCGTATAACAATGGCAGTTGAAATGTGTTCCCGCCATTTTAAAATCAAAAATGTGCGCAGCATCTTACGGGTTATGCGCCGTGATCAACGGTCACGGCGCAATGGTTATGCGCCGTGACCATTGATCACGGCGCATACACATTGCGTTTAAATTGTCGTATAAATGTCCAGCTTCTCTGTGAAATTTAGTTGACTCGACTAATTTAAAAATTTAATACTCTTTGTTTCATTCTAGTTTAATTGTATTTCTATTATGGTCGGAAAGAATTATAATGTTTTTTTCTTCTACTGGGCCACATTCAGCCTGTCATTCCGCCATATTTTCAACGGCTATGAACACTAACATATGAACACTTATATGAGCCTGGCCCCATGTAAGATGTTTCTTTGTAGTCAGCAGTGTATTACTATTTCGGTTTTATAGTCGCATTTAATTCAGTTAATATTTTTGGTTTCTTCACCTCTTCAAAGTTCAATGTAATTGGTTTGGAGGTCATTTGAAATAAGGAGGTAAAATAACTCACATAGCTTCCAGCAAGTTTCACGGATATAGTGATTGAGTTTCTAGTCAACCTAGCCTCTTTGCCTGACTGATTTCTTGTTCGGCAGGGTGACTGCTTAAACGTCAACTTCAACCTCTTCCACTGCATCGAATCGTACTAGTAGAATTTGTACCTGAAATATTACATTTAGTTTAGCGACCTTCACATGCGGGTCAAACTTAGTATTTCTGAAAGTTTCGCCAAATTTCATTGATTTCAGAGGGTGTGGCACGTCACTCTCTCCTTTTAGTTTTAATTATTGTCGCCATAAAATGACAACACTTTATACTAGGAACTCCAAAGTTGACAGACACATTTGGTATAATAATTTAAGTGATTCCCAAAATTTCAAGTTGATTACACAATTTGGCCAAGTTATGACCCATTTAAGGGCTAGCACGACTTGGAAGCTGGAGAAATGTCGACTCCATCAGTCCTACCAGCAGTTTTTTGATGACATGATAAGGGCGATTCAACCGCAAGTCAGGTCAGGGAGAGTTTGGAGACCAGACAAGGAACTAGATTGTGCTGAGAGGGACTTAGTCTGTGAAGCGGTGAGAGGAATGGTCGTACAGCAGGGCAAGGATTGGTTTTGGAGAATGGAAGAAACCGTGGAAGAAGATGAACGCCCGGGAACAACAAGCTGAGGTCCTTCAGAGAGTTAAAAGAAACCTCGAGCATGAAAGGGAAGTTCAATGCGGCTCTCTTGAGATGCAGTCAAGATGGGGACAGTGGAGGGAAGAGGTTATGAAGACGGACATGAGCTGGCACACACTCTTCAAGTATGGTGATTCGCTCACAGGTTTTATGCTAAGTGCGACTTATGGTACTGTGGTCACACCAAATTGATTTTTTTAAATAATCCAAATACAGGCAGCGATTTAGTCAACTTAAGTTTGTCATTTATGTAATTGAACATTAAAAATGTATCCTTCATAGAATTTTGTATTATCTCGAGGGTATAAAATTGTCAATTGAGAAACACGTCATAAATCTAAACAAATAAGTTCATTAAAATAGCTATCAATCAGTAAATGAACGAACCTGTACATCTAGATGATGTAGGTCCACCACTTGTAACTTGTCAGACCGGTAACTTGTCAGGCCGGTTGTTGTACAGCTTCCTGTTCAGCCTGAAAACACATTTCTGTTACCATGACAACGTTACCATTACAAGTTACCCGTGATGGGGAGTGTCATGAGGTTACGTGACTGATAAAGTTAATACACCTCCTCCCCACTAATAGTGCACTAACCTGGAAATGAGGGAGTAGACTCCAAAAAGTGAGGACCAGCGTGATGTCAGTAACTTTTAAAAAAGCCCGGGCCTATTTTAGATCCTGAAATTAGTGCCAGGAGTCTGTTTCGTGGATTATATTGTTGGCTTTAAAGGGATTTAAAAAGTGTAAACAGTATAAGGGTATTTATAAAACACATAATTACTGAACACGTGTCGAGATTAACTTAAAACGTGAAAAATCAATAATCAAGTAATCACACGTTTCCTTGCCCCTTCCCTTGTCTGAAAAGTGAAAACTATCCCCTCCCCTTTCACCGAACGTGTGTCTAATCACGAGCAATTTAAATCAAACACGTAAAAACAAGTAACACATAAATGCGAGTACAGTGGCAGTCAACTACATGAATGGTAGTCAACTGATAGTGCGGAGAAACACGTCACACACGTTAGGCCAGGAATGTTCCGCGCCATATAAGGAATAATTCACTGGGTGTACAAATAAACAATGTGGTTGGGCCGTGAACTGGTGGTATTTTTTACACAACTTGTTTTAGTGGGCTTGTCAAGTCCTGCTCGATTATAGTAGTATAGAAGTGAGGCGGAACACCATAGTATGAAGACACAGGCACTTTTAGAATTAGAGTCCATTTTAATATCACTTTTCACGCTCAGTGCTTCAGACTTTAAATTAAAACTGGCACTTTCCATTTTAACTTCGGCTAATTGATCCCTTACCAATATAAGATAAGTTGTAAATGTAAGTATGAATTGTGGGTCAAATAAGACAGTAGTTTTTATGTTCTTATGTGAATTTTTAATCTATAATTCCGATCCCGGCCAAAAACTCAAAATTGGCCGGGGCCGGGAATAAACACCTCCCCCGGCGCCGGGAATCCCGGTCGTTCAGTGCATTACAGCACAGTAAACATAGCCAAAGTTGTTACTTGTCAAATGCTATAATAGAATCTCTAGAATACAAATAAATTCATTCGATCAACATCGAAAATGACGTCACAACGACGGTTATGTCAATGACGTCACGAAGCTCACTTGAAGTTTTTGCTGCTGTCTGAGTTTATCAGCTTGTTCACCAGTCCTAGTCGCTGTACTTCTTCAGCGTGCTGATTCAACAGGGAGATGCTTCTTTCTTGGTCTTTCAGCGCTTTTAGCTTCTCCTGAAATAATCGAGAGGTAATATTGTCTTCTTTCTCTAATAACAAACAAAATAATAAACAAGCAAATAAACAAAGTTTTGTCTGCTTTCAAGCTCAAAAGTAATAGTAACACTAACACGACTCACGAGCCCTTTAAAGCTTGTAATAATGTAAGGCGTGACTGTGTTTTCTATGGACAAAATTATTTCAACCTAATTTCTGCATGACAATGTTTAACCTAATTTCTACATGACTATGATCCAGCTATCAGGAAAATTTAAACATCTAATAATTTAAAATTATATCATTAGAACTAGAAGTTCATTTAAAAGTATCGAAATCTTAGTTCTATTTTTACAGTCACCTTTTTAACTATTGAGTTCAATGATTGCTAACTTTGATTTACTCTTTAACTAAAGTTTGCTGAAATTAAAAAGTTGTATGATAAAAAGGTACACAAAATCAAAAACTTAGTCGATTAAACTCGTTTCTAGTCTGCGTCCAAACTTACTTATTATTATTAAAGTTAAACGTTAGAATTTATAAATAATAGTAAAACAGGATTTAATATCTCCCAAAGGATCAACCTCGTGAACTGTAACTTCGATTTAATAAAAGGCTCGAATAAAAGCAAAGAGGTTACTAAGCACTTACCTATTACCCCCATGACATAAGGTTAAAATTCTCCCCTAACGAGATATTGGCGAAAAACTGTCTCGATCACCTGATATGACCGTATAAGGAAGTTAGCCTAATTTCTCTATAGTGTTTCAGTGTATGCTTTTGTAAAGGATTTGGTTAGGGTTAGGCCGTTAGGGTTGGGATCTGATTAGAGGGTTATGGTTTCCGGGTTTCGAATAGTTGTTTAGGGCCATCTACAGAACGGGTTGAAGAAGTCACGTGACAGGCGATTGTAGAGTGATTAATCATCATCCACCATAACTGCCATCGTAAACAGTTAATTAATTAGGTATCAACAATCAAGCACAATATATAATACAGCAGGGCTGATTACTGCTGACACATTATAAAGCAACTAAGAGCAGAAATATGGATGATGGAATAACGCGAGGCAACAGTGAACTGGGCGCAATTAAGGCGCGAACAGTGAACGCACGAGGTGTAAAACTCAAAGTGCTCCTTCATCAATTATGTTCACTCTTAGACGGATTTGACACGCGAAATTGCGCGGCAATTATGCGCGGCGCGTAAAACTTTTGTAAACCTTTCGGACAAGGGTTAAATTATTTTTCTACTGTCAACACAGCCCAAGTTATACATGTTTTAATATCAAAAAATGTCCAATTTTTTTGTATCATTTTTAACTAATTTCTTTTTCAAATCGCTGCCACATCAAAATTATTTTACGAAAGTACATTAAATTTTCACAGAAAGCATGCTTAATCGTTTTAGAACTATATTAAAAAAGAATTTAATATAAAAAATGTTAAAACTTTAAAATTATCAATTGAATAAATTGCCAACGTCCAAATATGTGTAAAATACGACGAAGAGGGGTCACAACACTGCGCGCGGCAGTGTACCTGCGGTACATATATACGCTGTTGTCAGCACTGCGCACGCGCGCACGAACCTTCCCATCGGGGTTCGTGGATAGGTGCTTTTCTTGACTTGTGAAACAAGCGCGCCCGAAGTGGCGCGAAAGCACATGGTTAGGTGAAACAAAAACGTATAAGCATGTACATAGAACGGTCAACATCTAATTGCGCCCTAAAGAATAGTAACGTATGCACGTACGCGCGCTAAGTAACTTGATCCACGAACAATGCAAATGAAATATAAAAACTCATAAACTTGCATTGGAAGACTTCGCCGCTTTGACGCGCCGCGCAAATTATCATTCTTACTTCGCCGCGCATCGAAGTAAGAGATCTCAGCCTGACGAGATCGTTGCTCTTTTAATTCGCAGAGCAACAATCTGGAAGACCGGTTGACATTGTCAATCAACTCATAAACTTAACGGGTGATTTTAACTCATAAATTTTAAATTTGTTTCACTGTTTCACTTGAAAAGAAAAACAAATTTTAGAGAAACAAATTTGAATTTTGATCTTTATTACAGATTAAACATATCATATATAACCATGAAAGCCGCGCGTCGGCTGATTGCCTCAACTTGGATTGGTAGTCATTTCAGTTTACAGAAGCTGAAGGACGGCAGCTCAAAAGCCCCAGTGAACCATCGGAAAGATCAAGGACTCGAGTGCCAATAGTGGCTTTTTCGAACCCATTTTCGCCGATTTGCTGTGGCCCAGATGAGCCGCGCCCTGCTGCTTAACGGCACATGATGGTTTTTGTTTAAATACTTATTTAAATTTAAGCGATAATTCATTTGGTGGTTTACAGTTTTTGAATCATGTTCATCATTTATTTTTCGTTCAGTTATCACGTGTTTACAATTCAGTCATACCATGCATAGTCAACATTGTTGAGGCAACCAGCTTCCGCAGTTCAATAATTGGAGACCGAAAATATAAATTGATCGAAATTTACAATTCATCGTTATCAAATATAGTCAATAATATTCTTGATTCCATTTAGTACATAATAAGTTGGTTTTATTCTCTTGCAACACTACTGCACAAAAATAATAAATAAACAATAATATGATATAAATCAAGAGGCTTGCATATAATGAACATATTGACATGGGTGCAGAATTGAGTCTGTACGAAACCTAGTAGTTTCAGTTCCTTGTTTAACATAGCAATGTAACAATACCATGTCATTTTAATTTTAACATGGAACAATGAAAATGTGGAATTGTATCGCTAAACAGAATTATCTTGAATATTTCGGTGGCTACTTCGTTTATTCTTTTTTAGCTGCAATCTTGGCAATTCGACTATTGAAGTTGTAGCATCAATTTGCATTTCTGAAGAACCTTGCCTTGGAGGGAGTCTTTGAAGGGGATGTGGTCTTTGATGGGGTCGAAATCTTCGTTGATTAGAGGATCTCTTTGAGGGGAGAAGTTCAGAAATCTTTTTTCTCAGAAAATGTCTGAAACTTCGCACACTGAGCGAGTATACAAAAAAATTCGCCATAGTGTTAATGTTGGAGAAGTGATATACAACGTTAAGTGTAGTGCTGCTTGGTTGAACTCCTGCAACTGCTGCTACTGCCACCACAGTTGTAGGCAGATATGATAGCAAAAAGACTACGACAGTAAGTAGGACTGTGATCACACCCTCCCATCTCAGTGATTCTCCGTGTCTGGAGCCAGCTCTACTGGCCACAATCAGGAGGAGAACAGAGCTTACGATGAGTATCATGTAGGGTACGATACTAAAAACAGCAACACTGATGGGGAAGTAAAGTGTATACCATATTGGCACAGTGGGTGAGTAAAGATCATAGTTACAACCATAGTCTATGTAGCTGAACCTTAGTGTGTCTCTTATGTAAAATACATTTACCACTAGTACTGGAGTGTACCAACCTAGCATCAAGAGCCATACAACAGAGCAGATTCTATGTCCCAATCGCGTGGACCATGCCCCAGTTTTCAGGGGATATTTTACCATGATCAGTTTCAAGATAGCCATAGCAGATGTCAGGAACACAGTCATTGGACCACACATCCAGCTTATATTATACTGAACATGGCAGAGAATTTCCCCAAACACCCAGCCATCCATTATCAGTGCCACAAATCCTGGAAATACTTTAAATACAGCTAGCATTAAGTCACAAACAGCCATGTGCTGCATCACTGCTATTATCACTTTATGGAGTTTTATTGCTTTATATCTAATTGTTGCTATTAAAATGATGCAGTCTCCTACAAGCGATGCAAGAAAAACTGTTAAACTCCACAATACAAAAATTGTTCTCTCCGTGTCATCTTTGATAGCTAATAGCGTCTTGTTGTCTGTTTTCATGTTGAAATAATCTGCCTGGTCATAAGATTGATTACATTTCATACTCTTAATTTCAGCTAAGTTAATTTAAGAAGACAACTCTGCTTGCTGAGAGAGAGAGAGGATTTACTAACAAGCAAGCATTTAGGAAATTGTATTAAAAAAATTTCACAACTATATAGCAACGAATAAATTTGGTACTGGTTTTTAAGATGCTGGCAGACAATACCACCTCCTAAGTTGGGACTTGTAACTACAGCAGGGACATAGATGTGAATCACGTGATTAGGTGAACCAGCTACTCAATTTAAACTTATCTAACACTCCTTTCCTCAATTTGAATAACTGTGCGAAAAGCTGTATCATATTACAAGCAGGCCTTTTGTGAAGGAAGTAGTTACTAAAGGTAAGCAGGACCTACTAAAGCAGTCCGGTAGGTTGTAAACCTACAAATGTGCAAGCGTTGCAATTAATCACACCAGGAAATTTTATGATGGGGGCTTGCTAGAGTTAATCATTATTTATATCATGTTTCAACTTTATCGTCGTGCGTGCGCGTAAAGCTCGCAGCTCGCACCGTTTTACCATTTTCCAACTCAATACTACAACACCATCCTATTCACCCCATCCCAACCAAATCCCCTATCACCCTATCTCCAATAACAATTCCACCACACCAAATTTTCATCACACAACCCAATACAACACCATCACATCACACCACCATACCTAACCTATCAAAACTATTCCAAACACAAAACATAACCTAATACTAATCATCAAACATTCCTCTCCTTCACATCATCCCCCTCCATCCTCACTTCTCTTCATCTCCTTCAATCCCACTATCCACCACCCTCACACCAAAATTATACATCTCAATCCCACTAATCAATCCTAAATTTTATCCCACCCCCCACAACTATATCTATCACCCATAAAACCACCACTTCTATATTCCTCCCCTCTACATAAAAATCCCCCATACCTTTCAAATCTACCCATAAAAACTCCACAACTCTCCCATCATTCACCTATCTCCAACTAAAAACCCCCCCCCCTACCCTTAACAAATAAAACTTCAATCCCCAACTTCACCAAAACACTCAACAATATAATCTCTATTCAACACCAACCATAACCACTCCTATCAAACCTTATACATTAATACATGATACCTTAACCATACCCCATATCACAATTATAATCAAACAACACATAACATATAAATTCCTAAATTCCCACTCAATTTTCATTCGACATCCTAATTAAAACTCTTATTTAAAAATCACCTCATTTCAATATCTCACACCTGTCCACTCATCTTCTCCTTCCCACCATGATAAAACTCCATCGCCGCTCAACCCCAATCCTTTTGATGGATCATAACAAACCCTTCTCGCTTTTCAACTTACACCGACCTTCCTTACAAAACCAACACATACCATACACACATACATACCATAGTCTCCAAACCAAATATAAATTCATCAGAAATCCTCCTCTAAGCTACCACAATCCCCCCACAATTCTCCCTTCTAAACGCCATAAACGCTAAAAACGGTAGTGTAAACATACTACCCCGGTAACAAAAACCAAGTGACTACCTTATAAGGAGTGTATTATAAAGTATCAACACCACGCGGACTACCTTATAAGAGGTGTAATATTGTAATATAAAGTATAACACCACGCGACTACCTTATAAGGAGTGTAACTATAAAGTAGCAACACAAGTCGACTACCTTTTAAGGAGTGTCAATATAAAGTATCTACACCACGTGACTACCTTTATAAGGAGTGTAATATAATAGTTAACAACACCACGTGACTCTATCTTACAAGGAGTGTAATATAACAGTAACAACACACGTGGACTACCTTATAAGGAGTTTAATTAAATAACAACAACCACGTGATACCTTATAAGGAGTGTAATATAATATAAACAACACCACTGACTACCTTATAGGAGTGTAATATAAAAATAACAACAACCACGTGACTACCTTTATAAGGAGTGTAATATAAATTAACAAACCACCACGTGGCTATCTTACAAGGAGTACTAATATAAAGTAACAACACCACGTGACTACCTTAGGGGGTGTTAATATAAAGTAACAACACCACGTGACAATTTACAAGGAGTCCCCCCCGTCTCTTTTTTTTCGTCCATGTTTGTCTTCTTAATCTCTATCTC